ATACCCTAAGGGTGATTCAACATTATTCAAGTAGGAATATAGGAACCACCCAACTAGAAATTGCCGAAAAGTAAAAACTAAAAATAACACAAGCACAACAATAATGTCGTGCTGAACGATCTTTAAGGATCGGAAATATAACATCTCTGATTGCATGTACGGGGCGACTTTTTACAGCCATCGCATGGCACAAACAACGCTGATGTGGCGATAAAATAGACAAAATAAGAATCCCTAAACAAAGTCCAACACAACATTATTGAAAATGTTGCAGGCTCGGTTGTCCTAATTTGGTTATTTATTTTATTTATACTTGGACCAAACAAGACTTGTTACCAGACAAAAATATTGAATAATTTAGATGTGACCTTGACCTGTAACTGAAATTGACTGTCAATGTCAAATTAATGAAATTCTCTTGTTTTACCTGTAACTGCCTTGGCTCTTGTATGACATTGACCTTGAAGGTCAAATTGTTGAAATTTCACATATGATTGCTATATATGGCTTTAACTTGACAAGTAATAAATAGATTATCTTCATACTTGACAAAACAACCTTATGGACGAGATCTTCTTAAAAGTTTAACTGACCTTGACTATGATCTTAAAATGACCTTGACCGTCAAGGTCAAATTATTGAATTTTATCTAAATTGTCATAATTTTGTTATTTATAGACGAATTTGATTCATATTTTGACAGAACAAGAATTGTGGCCCAACGGACATGTTGGAAAATTTAGATGATAGCTTGACCATTAATTGATCTTGACCATCAAGGTCAAGTTAATGAAATTCTTCTATTTTTTCCAATAGCTATGGCATTTATACCTAGTTCAGCTGACCTAGTTAATTTGATTAAATGAACTACTTTACTGACCTTTCATGTTCAGCCATGATGGACCATGTGTATAGTTTATGTAAATTGAAATGTGATTATAGCTGACCTATATCTTGACAAAGAGACCTTCTGTATTGTCCTGTAATGCACAGCTATGATATTTGGAACATGTGCACAATTTAGGATGTAAAATTGAATTTTCATATCAGCTTAGGTGATTTGATGAAATGACCTTCTTTCTTGCCCTTTGATGTACAACTTTGAAATAATAAGCGTTTGTAAAATTGAACTTTGATATTAGCTGACAAAGATATTGATAAATTAGCCTACTTTCTTGTCATTTAATGTACAGCTATGAAATTTGGACTATGTAAATGTAAAATTGAACTTTGATATCAGCTGACCTACAGAATTTGATGAAGTGACGTACTATTTTATCTTTTGATGTACAGCTATGACATTTTGACCACGTGCACAGTTTTAGATGTAGAATTAATCATTGATGTTCATGGAAATAATCAATAGTTGAACAAAACAACAAATGTGACTATACCTTCCTGTTGAAATTTTGAAGAAAGAAGGAAAAAAAATCTTTTATTTTCTTTTTATTGATTTGTTTAAACCTTTATTTGTTTGTTTTAGAAAAAAGTAAAGTCTAGCGTTGATGAAAAAGTATATATGCTTTTGTTGAAACAAATTCATAGCTATTATATAATAGGGCAGGAGGAATCTTTCATTAAAACGCATCTAAAGATCATGTTTCTCATTTTTATGGTTTTATAATATAAATGTAATGCTCAAATGAGGATTTATCAATATTGTAAGTTCCATAAAGCATTATTTGTAAAGATATTGCTGAATTAACATTTCATGTTAAGAAAGGGAGGTAAATAGACATTTATTTTCTATAAAAAAAACAAGAATAAAGATCAACAAGGCAAAGGCAACGTTCTCAGGACGCGGCCCCCGACACACCCAAGCATGGCACCCTGAAGGCAGTCTACTTTTCAATAAGAAATGAATGCATATATTTAAATGGTTATACATAATGTGGACAAATATTTGCAGTATATATATTACATATTCCTCGATGTTTGATAACTGACTGAATAACTCAGACTCTGCCAATTTGAATAACTAGTAACCTATTATTAAAGATTTGAAGTTATGATATTTTCCTTTCAAAGTTAGATTAACAAGTTTTAAGCTCGATCTTCAAAAGTATAAAAGTAAAGCAATTGTCATGGCCCTCTTACTTCGAACTTGAATCACCTGTTCGCAATTGTGATTGGATCTCATTTCAAAAGCAGATAACAGTAAACTGTTTTTGCACAATGATAAACGTTTGACATTGGAATACTTAATTGTAAGTGAAGTTTTATGACACATTTAGCTCAGGCTGTGGTGTTATTTCTTCCCATTCATAAAATGTTGTAGTCTTAGGTGAACACATCTGAGGATGTCTCTAAATTCAAAATTTCATCATTTTCGTGTTAACCCATTACTTCATATACACACCTTTAAACGCCTTTTTCACCCCCCCCCCCCTTTTTGTTGTCTCAAATGATGAAAAAATGCCTTATTTAGGCCCCAAACAATTTTTTTTTGTTTGAGACGTTGTTTAAAAAAATTGACCTCTTTTTCGGCGCGGGCCCCCAACCAAAAGATACATCAGGGGGTTGCCAGAAGGGGGATGTGCCCCTTTTTGTTTTGGGGGGTTTGAAGGGGGGTGGAGTCCCCCTCATCGCCAAGAAAATTTTGGACTTGTGAGAGGCTGTAAATGACCCCAGATTGATCATAAGGTAACGTGTAACCAACGCTGAAAAGCATTTGACTCTATCTCAATCCATTGAGAAGTTGCAGCACTTTGAAATCAATTTTGATGGAAAAAACGCAAAATAGTGATTTTTGGCAATTTTGAGATGTCCCTTCGTTGCCATGGTAACAGGAAATTTAAGCCTGAGCATGTTGTTGCAAGGACAATGGTCCAGTCAACATTTGTGCCAAGTTTGATTAGTGTTGAAGCAGTTTTTATAGTATTATAGCAATTTGAACTTGTAACGGGAGACTTTTCAATGAAAACAGCCATTTTTCACAAAATGCTCATGAAGTAATGGGTTAAATGTTGAATTCTGCTTAAGCCGGTGCTAGGGGGCGTGGACGGTTATTTGCACTTTCCAGTACCGTCCATGAAAAGGCTCAATCAAACCGAGCCTGCAACATTTTCAATTTTGTTGTGGGGATTCTGTTTTACTCTATTTTACACGAGTAGTAAGCCCTTATAGTCTGATTTTATTGACCTGTCAATTATGAACACATTATAGCACTCATTTAAATATTCGACCCTACTTCGGTTGTGTCCGTTTATTTTACGAGAATTAATATCTTTCATTATCAGATGTGTTCTCTTTTTGGTAACTTAATTACAACCACCACATACGTTGAAGATTGTTATTGTTAGATTGGCTTACTTCTACTTCGGCCAAATCTATAATTATTGCTATGTTGTTATTTACACATGTACAAATATTCTAAATAAAATGTGTTTAAACCAATACCAAGAGGAGATGCGCATATTGTCACCTTGTTCAGGTCAGACACTTTAACTCAAAGTTATGGCACTTTATTAATTATGCAGTATCCTTATAGAGTAATAATCGTTTTTGCACTACTTCTTTGCAACTACTAGCTTGAATTCAACAAAACTTGATGGGAATCATCAATATCAAGAGGAGATACCCATATGGTTGACTTGTTCCGGTCAGACCCTTTATCTCAGAGTAATACCCCTTGATTAATGCAGTATGCAGATAGAGCAATAATCTTTTCCGCGCTTTTCCTCTGCAACTACTGGCCGGACTTCAACAAAACTTTATGGGAATAATCAATATCAAGAGGAGATGCGCATACAATCAGCTTGTTCCGGTCAGACCCTTTATCTCAGAGTTATAGCCCTTGATAAGTTATGCAGTATGCATGTAGAGCAATAATCGTTCCGAGCTTCTTCTCAGCAATAACTGGCTGGAATCAACGAAACTTTATGGGAGTCATCAATTAACTCAAAGTTATGGCCCTTTATTAGTTATGCATTAATCATTCATATAGGGCACACTTTATGGGGACCTTCAATACCAAGAGGAGATGCACATATCATCGCCTTGTTCGGGACAGACACTTTAGCTCAGAGTTATGGCTCTTGATTGGTTATGCAGTATGCATATAGAGCAATAATGTTTCCGCGCTACTTCTCTGCAACTAATGGCTGGAATTCAATTAAACTTTATGGTAACCATTAATACCAAGTGGAGATATGCACAATTTGTAGCCTAGTTCAGACCAGACCATTCATTACAGACTTATGGCCCTTGATTAGTTATGTAATATGCATATAGAGCAATATTGCTATTTCTATGCAACTGCTGTATTGTTTTTGGAAACCATTGATACAAAAAGGCAATTTACATCTCATTGGCATTTCCAGATATTATTATCTAACACGGAGTTATGTCTCTGTTATTACCCTGAATATTTATCATGTACAAAGAATATTACTGTTTACGCCATGAAACTTTTTTATGGACATTAAAAGAAACTTCCCATTCTTCAATTTCTTAAACAAAATTAACAAAAAAAACTTTTGTTTGAATATACTTACAGTATACATTTTTTTCCAATTTTTAAAGAGAACACGTGTATATGTGCCGACATAACAACTTTGAATACTTCAAAATTGCTACTTTTTAATACCTTTTATACAAACTTTCTTCGTTATTTTCAATTTTATTAAAGATATATTATGTTGAACTCCGTTGCCCCCAAAAAATTCCGTTGCGTATTTTAGTCATACCCATTGAATTAAACATGACAGGGGAAACATCTTTTTTGCATCAAAAGCTCGGGTGAAACGTGCGTAATTGTTGTATAGGGTTGTAACTTGGTGACATTGTTTACTCAGACATCATCTGGCCATTATATTGGACGAATAAAAACTCATATTTCATTATCTAATTAAACACTGCACGAAAATATAGACATAGGTGATGTGACTTTGTTTACAAAATATTGTGCAATTTCATTTCAAGGTAAAGTTCAGGAGACATGCACATTTAAAATCGGGGTGGTTAAAACACTTGTTATTTGTATATCTTGGCTGTGACATTCGTAGTACTTGCTTAAGTTCAGCTTATGTAGGTGACTATAAATCAACATTAGATAAAAACAACCAAGGTCATTTTATATGCACAAGGATAAGCTTTATCAAAAGTTTGTCTGTTTTAGTGAAGTTTATCTAACATTGCTGTGATTAAACATTCGATAGATGTCCATGGCTAAAGTATTTGAGAAAATGAAAATCTATATTACAATTTTATTGCTATGTTTTATAAAATATTCGACAATGATGGAAGAGGTCATTGTTGAAACAAATATTGGGACTATAAAGGGTGAAGCAAGGACAATCGAGCCGTTTGGAGCTCCTATTCGAGTACGGCAATTTCTTGGAGTGCTTATTGCCGAGCCACCTGTAGGTGCTCTCCGTTTTGAGAAGCCTAAAATGAAACAGAGAATGGATGGCGTGTATGATGCTACAAGATATAGACCCTCTTGTTTGCAACTGCATATGGATCTTTTAGGGGAGCGGAAACCAGCAGCTGAAACTGGTTTACCGGAGTTTTCAAATGACTGCCTCGTGTTAAATATTTTCACTCCTGATAATCGAGAAGATAATGATAAGTTACCTGTAATGATTCTCTTCCATGGTGGAGGTTTTGTTATAGGGACATCATCAATATACCCTGGACATATAACTAGTGGCTATGGGAACGTTATAGTGGTGAACATTAACTACAGGTTAGGGTTGTTTGGATTTTTGAGTACTGGTGATTCAAATTTACCCGGGAATTACGGTCTCTGGGACCAACATATGGCTATTCGTTGGGTACACGAAAATATTGCAGCGTTCGGTGGAGACCCTGATAAAATGACATTATTTGGAGGTTCGGCAGGCGGGGCCAGTGTGATATTTCAAGCAATGTACCCAGGAAATAAAGGACTGATTAAGAGAATTATCCCTCAGAGTGGAAGCATAACGTGCCCATGGGCTTATCAGCGAGATTCATTACACAATGCTAAACGCATTGCTAATCTAGTCGGATGTCCAACTGATGTAGATACTTCACAACTTGCAACTTGTCTCAGAAATATCCCCGATGAAAAGTTTATGAAAGCGTATAATAATCCATTGAATGGATTCAGAAAGTTTCCTTTAGAGTTTGTTGTTTCTGTTGACGAAGAATTCGTTCCATTAACTACTTGGGAAATGCTTCATAGCGATTCAGATATAGCAAAAGACAGGCGAGATTTATTCCGCAGTTTCGATGTAATGGCGGGCCTTGTAGACGACGAAGGTTTCATGATGATTACTCCATTTGTAGGTGTTGATAACACAGATACATTTACAGTTGATAGATACCAATTGGAAAACAAATATATACCAGATATCGTGCGTATAATGTTTGGTGAAAATATTCCAGATAACATAAATTCTCTCGTTGCTTTTGAATACACGGACTGGAAAAATCCTGCTGATGAAGAGCGTTCTTATGAATCTTTTATGCGGCTAAGTTCCGATTACGTTTTTAACAGCCACGTCATTGACACAACGAAGATACATGCTGAAAATAATCATGGCAAAAAAACGTTTTTGTTCCTTTTAAATGCTTTCTCATCCCAACATATTCTGTGGGTACCACCCACGTGGAGAGGTGGGTCGGTACATGGTGACGAGTGGGCGTTTATTTTAGGGTATGACTCAGAGACCGGATATACAAGCGCAACAGCTCCATATGGTGTTGAACCACAGAAATGGGAAATTGAAATGTCAAAAGAAGTAATCAAAATGTGGACAAATTTCGCAAAAAGCGGGTAAAGCATCTTACTGCCTTTTAAATTTTAAGTTTTTTTATATTTATACTTTTTTGATTAAACTCATTTAGATTTTTGTTCAATATAATTTTCCTTATTTTGCCGATAAACATAGCCAAATAAATAATTAATAATTAGAACAACTTTCACATGTTTGTATTAATTTTTTCACACTTAAAGCTGTGATTTATTCGAAAAGCTACCCTTATCTACAAGTAGTCTCTTTCATGTTCTTCTCTTTTTTTATTAAACAGTGACCCAAACAAGCCGGAGCGCATTAACACGGAATGGCCTGAATACAAGTTAGAGAGTCAACTATATCTTAACATTAGTAGGGACATGTCGGTTGGGCAGCGGTTATTTGAGAGGGGCTATCACTTTTGGACAAATATATTACCTAAACTTGTAAAAATGACAAAACCAGAAATGTCCAAAAAGGAAAACTACTGCGATAAAGAAGAATCCGGTTGTAGACCGTAGAAAAAACAAGTGCTTGTTTCACCTCGCCTATGCAAAATATCAAATATATATTCTTCAGCGTATATTTTCATATAAATTATGACCATTTAGTGTGTGAATTTAATTCTGAAATCAGAATGTAATGAATGTAGTCAAATACTTTCAAAACGCACATTTTTATATTCATATTTATTTTCTTGTTGTATTTTTCTTTCATTTATATCACAGGTGCTTGAAACAAACTTTTATATGTTCTACTATTATAAGATATCTCTAAATAAATACAATTTACAACGGTTGAGCGAAAGTGAATTAGAGGAAATTTATTTTCCTTTGGTCGAATATAGTATCCTATTGTATAGTTTTGTGCACGATGTTTTCGTGCTAAAGTAATATCAGCTTTGGACGATGGACTAGGCAATATTACCATAGAAAATTAAGAATTAGCGAGATATATGTTCAGCATAAATGTTTCAATTTCAACCATCTAGTTGTGATATATATTTTGTAAGATGATTTTATTATCTGAAGTTGAGATTAATGACTATGAATGTGTTAAAATGAATTTATTTGTTTTGATACATTTATTATAGTAACTATGTATTGTTACATGTAATGATTGAAATGTGAATGTATTACACACTACATACTGATCTTCCAAGTCCTCCATACATATAATACATTTTCAAATAGTATTATATTGTTTATTGTAAGGATATGGTATGAGTTGAGAGGAAATATATAAGGCGATTATGTAAAATATTTGATTATGTGACTAGAGCCTGTGACTCAAATAATCACCAATTTCAGACATCTAATACACCATTGTAGCCATGCCACAACACATTGGGAATATGTGGACTTTGTGTGGATATCGTCAAAAAAAAAAAAAAAAAAAAAAAAAAAAAAAACCCATTACATTAAACCGGTAGCGCGAGAGTGAAGTTAAATCCTTCACTATACTTCACGCTTGAACAGGGGTTGGAAAACCGAAGTTCTTTCTATACCACGGGAGTAGAGGCCGCTTTAAGGTATTAGCACCCTAATGCATTACCTCCGCGTTGAAGAGTATTCAAATAGGCTAGAACTACTGTTAACTAAATTGAAAATGAGGGCCATGGGTTCAATTCCCAGAAGTGTCAACTTTTTTTTCTTTCTTTTTTTCTTTTAACATTATTTCTGTATTTCTCATGTCCCATTTGGAAAGAAAAAAGTGTTTAATTTTGATTTTTTAATTTATATAGGTATTTATCGGCTAAATTATGCTAAATCTAGTAATAAATGTGATACCTGATATTTTCAAAGTGTAATATAATCAAAACTAGACGGTAAAAGTATTTCATATTTTACAAGATCAACCAATATACTTTTTTTTTTTAAATTTAGGGAAACTTTGAAAACAGGCACTCATTTGGGTAAATTTAACAATTTTTTAAATTAGGCTCCCTGAGTAGAAAAATGGTCAGACACGTGGTAAAAAGGGGTGGGGTACGGTAACATTTTTATACAGATTGCATAAATTTTATGTAGAAACCATAATTTGCTTATGTGGATTGTTAGCTGAATGGTACTATTTGTTTCTTACCAAAAATTAATGGGAAAACATTTTTCATTAGAAAGTTATTGCAGATTATTTAAAGGTTCCTCATTTCTAAAAAAAGGGCCGTCATAACATCAGAGCAACAGATAAGCTTTAAAAGTGAATTGGGTATTACTCCATCATTTCCTTTGGAATTGGGTATTGGCTCCATTTAATTGGGTATTCCAAAACTCGATACCCTATGATTTCAAGATCAATTGGTATTCAATAATGAAAATATGAATTTATGGTTTCAATATCAATAAAATTCAAATTGTTTTAAAAAGATAATATGAGCCGCGTCACGACAAAACCAACATAGTGCGTTTGCGACCCAGCATGGATCCAGACCAGCCTGTGCATCCGCGCAGTCTGATCAGGATCCATGCTGTTCTCTACTTGTAAAAGGGTTGGTAAGACGTCTTTTGGAGACCGAGGACCGTCGAAAGACCGTTGATTAGTTAGCATTGATTTCGGGAATATTTGGATAGCATGCATATCAATATAATATTTGTCCAAAACTAGGAGGGTACGACAAATTAATTTTGCGGTGATGAAAATGACAATACGCACTGGCTTTTAAGACAATTGCGTTATTTATTTTTTTAAATGGGTTTTGATACGCATTCTTAAAAAATCAATTGCATATTTTATATAATTAATTGCGTAAATACGCAAATACGCACCTTATCTGTTGCTCTGTAACATCCTAGCTTGAGTTCAGAGAAGTGGCCATAACTTGAATTCCGTACGGTAAACTTTGTTTAAATTTTGCATACAGGTGTACTTTAAGGTATACATCTGACCTATGATGTTCATTTTTTTTCAGTTCCTTATAGTGCCCATTAGGGTGCCTAATACCTTAAGAAAAGTTTCGATTTTAGATTTTGGAATCTGTTCGCATGTGAACTGCCTTCCCAATTTCCGAATATGTATTAAGTGTTGGTTGTTACAGAGGAACTTACTTTAACTTAATCTAGCCTTGTAACGATAACGATTTACTAGCGGTACTCAAAAAGGCTAAACATTATTCATTTTTATATTCACGTGTTGTATTTGTAATACACTATTAACAGTGAGGCTGGTTTTTTACAAGGCAACACATTAAAATTTAGGGTCTGGTATGGAAGCCTTGGAGGGTCACTTTTGAGTTTCGACTTATAGATTTATTTTAACTATTTTCTTATGACTTTTGACTTATGACTTTTGATTTATGACTTCTGATTTATGACTTTTGATTTTTTGAACTTTATGGATTTTGTTATTGTTCCACGTGCTTGCCTCATAATTTTCAAAGGAAAATATGATAGAATATGACAAAAACAAATTCAGACGAGGTAAGTTCATTTACCTAAGTTTCCTGGTAGACTTTATATAAAACACAAAATATGTGGGCTCATATGCAAGAAGAGAATGTTATTTCTTATATAAGCCTTTTTAATTGATTAAGAAAAGAAAATTACTTTGCTTGTATTTCATTGCATTGGGTATCCATTTTTTTTATTTTGATTTCCGGAACAGGGGATATATAATCTCAAATTGACATACAGCGTATGAATCAAACACTTTTATTTTTTATATGGGTTCCCAGTTTTTTAAATCCCAAACCAGTTCTCGAATTGTTGTTCGCTGCAGTTTCAATCGGTTCAACCCGTAGTTCATTTCTTCGTCCATTCTCATACTGAATATAGACCAAATTATATGCCCTTTTTTTTGACATAAGAAATTTTTTTAGTTAAGAAGTTTCATTTAAACATGGTTTTTTTTCAAAACCAATAAATCATTTCAGGGTTTGAAACTTGGGTTTAAAAAAAGCTCTTTAAATTATAAATCTCTTTAAAATTTCATTGTTACCCAAATTAATTTCCTCTTTTTTGACTTTGAATTTTTGGTTTTGAAAATTTTTTTTTTAAAAAAAGGTTTTTCCCCAAAACTATTTTTAGTGATTTCCCTTTGAAATTAAAAAACATATTAAAGGGTTGACATCTAAGGTCAAAACCAAGTTTCGTTAAAGAGTGGGGTACCCAAAATTTTTACATACTTAAAGGCCCCTTTTTTAAAACTTTTAAAAGTTTTTTTCAGAAAAGGTTTTTTGAAAAAATGGGTTTCCCCTGGGAAAACCCGGGTTATGATATAATGTTTTAAAAAATTTATTTAACCCGTTCAGTATCAATAACTTAGGACGCAGACCCTACCAAGTACAGAGTACATGTTATTTGTATTTATTAAACTTTTGTATAAGTTATGTTATTAAGGGATTTTTTGTTATTTCATTTTGTATGTATATGTTTTTTTATTTCAATTGAAGATAACACATACTTTTAAAATGTTTTTAAAATTTTCAATTCTAGTAAAGCTACCTGTAGGAATTAAGGACGTGCTGTCGAATGGGTTTCAACTACAAAAAACATCAGAGGCATCAGAAATACATATTTGTCCAAGTTTTCGGCAGGCCAGTTTAGAAGACTAAGAGGGATCCATTGGCAAAAAAAACAGCGTCCTTTTTTGAGTAGAAAGTAGCTACAGTTTTAGCAAATGCAAAATTTCTAAACCACTGGTGATTTGGTTTTCTTCGTTATTGTCTATGAATAATTATTCAGACATTTTCGGAATACAAGTGTTAGCTTTTCACACTTGTTTCAGACGCTCGATAATTTTTAAGTTTTAACCCAATGACTTATTGTGGACGATTTATTGGGAACACGCAATGTGGACGTCCCGCCACGTTTATTTTATATTGTCCATATCTCCAATATGGTATAAAACTTGTATCTATAGACAGGTCATGGTGAGACAGAGAAAAGTGTGAAAAATCATGTATTCATAATTCTGGCTTTTCATAATTTTCAGTATTTGCCCGTTGAAAATTTTAAAACTTAAAGAAAGGTATCGAAAATCAAACTTTGGCATGTTCATATAGCTTGGCGAGGCAGAAAGATACATATTTCTTTGCTATCATAGCTATTCATACTTTTAGAAAGTCCCCCTTTTTTTTTTCAGTTTTTACATTTTGTTAAACTCATAATTATCTCAAAAAAACTGTTTGAAGGCATCAACTTGAATTTACTGGCAGATATATCTCGGCGAGACAGAGTGCCTTGTTGTTGTAACAAAACTTTTGATTATAACATTTAAATCGTTCTCCTAAGTTAAACATTCCCTTTTTCGGGACATGCTGTGGGTTGGGAAAGACTATGAGATTTCCATATAAAATTCTGGAAACAAAGTGATCCCTCGGAAGCATCAATCACAACAAAATAAACATAAGAATTGCCAGACTCGGTTTGATTGAGTCTGTACATGAGGGGGGGATAATGAATAAGTGCAACATCCCCATCACGTCCCCCTAGCACCGGCCTTGAAACGGTACTCAATTCTCAACACTTTATAGTGTTGGCATCAATGATCCCGAATTGACCAAAAATATAACAACACTGAAGAGAAGTAGCGGGGCAACTTTTTACGGCAGCCACACGGCACTTTGACACCTGCCTGTTGTGAAGTACAAAATTCTGGAAACAAAGTGATCCCTCGGAAAGCATCAATCACAACCAAATAACATAAGAATTGCAGACTTCGGTTTTGATTGTGTCTGTACATGAGGGATAATGAATAAGTGCAAACATCCCTCACGCCCCCTAGTCGGTTATTCTTTCGAAAAAAAAAACTTGTGGACGTTATTTAATATATATATTATACAAATATATACAGTTTCTTAAAGTTAACTAGGGAA